TCCGTCAGCGGCGAGTTAGAAGGCGGCGACGGTGCTGCCGTCAAACGAGGACCCGTTCTGGTGGTGGGTGAGCTGGCCCTTGAGCTGAGCGACCTCGAGCTCGAGCCTGCGGATCCTGTCGTGGTCCTTGGTGGCGGCGGCGTCCCGCACGCAGGCGTCAGAGGCGCCGCTGCTGGTGACGGACATGTCGGGGCCGCCGTGACCGTGGCTGTGACCGTGACCGTGGCTGTGACCGTGACCGTGACCGTGGCCGTGGCCGTGGCCGTGGCCGTGACCATGACCGAGACCGAGACCGTGGCGGCGGGAGTCGAGCTGGGCAAAAGCCGGGGGCACACCGGCACTGGCGTTCATGACGACGCCCGACTTTGTCTCATAGGTGCAGCGGTCAGGCGTGCCGCTCTTGAGACATCGCTGGCACGGGTAGCCCCTGTCACAGGAAAGCTTGCGGCGGCGGCACTCGAGGCAGCTGAGGCGAACACGCTGGCGCTTGCGCGGATGATCAGGGCCATTGTGATCATCATCGTCGTCGGCGTCCGGGCGTGAATGGACGCTCATGCTGTCGTCCATGTTGGAGCTCGGCATGGTCGGGTCGCTGTGCATGCGATGTATCGAGTCAGGTCAGATTGGTAAGACGGAGGAGTGATCAACGGAGGATGGAACAGTCGCACGCGACACGTTGAAATGGGGCTGAATATGTTGTGGTCAGGTCGTGCCTCGTGAGGAAAAAAGAGAGGGAATGAGAGATATAGCGAGGGGGCGACGCAGAGTCTGCAGGCTCCGATCCGGTTCGGAGGGCACACGACACAGAAGCCAGAGACAGAGAGGGCGGAAGCACGAGGCACGAGGCACAAAAAAGAGTCATCTCACTCGACTCAATGCCGTGTCTTGTGTGGCCTCTCATGCAGTGGGTGCTGTGCTAGGTGGAGGGTGGAGGGTGGAGGGTTGGTGGGTGCTGGGATCTGGTGATGGGTGATGGAAGGGGGGGGTTCGTGGTTCGTACCCTTGGACAGCTCGGCGATAAGTGAGGTGGAAGGAACAGCCCAAACAGCAAAAGCGGGGGATGACAGGCAAATCTTGTTAGCAGGGAAGGCACGTGCTCGGATTAACACGGCTGCTCGGCCATCCGAGGCTCGTTCAGCGGCGCTATATGACTAACCCGAGGATCTGATAAACAATTTTTCATCTTATCAGATCTAAATCTCGCAAGGGGTTCCCTGCGTCTCCAGTTCTTCTGTCCAATCGACCGTCTCAGGGCCCACATGGTCTGCCGCTGTGCGTCACCTCAAGAACGCCTTCGTCCCGCTTCTGGACCCTCTGCTCCTTCTTTGCCGTTCCCCCCCCTTTCTGCTGCTCCTTCTCTTCCCAAGCCCTCACCAGAAAAAGCCCTGAACAAACCCTGAACAAGCGGAGCGCAGAGACCGACAACGGCCTCAACCCTTTTGACCTCAGGCCACCAGGTGTCCCTCTCGTTATTTCAGCCTGATTCCTGATTCCGATCATCGACCATGACAGTGATGACACACCATGGCGTGATGTGAACCCTACCAGGATGCATCACTCACCACATGCTGCCACATCACGATGCCTCTCCTGCCTCCTATGCCCGCCCTGCCTCTGATGCCTCGGTGGTGAAGCAGCAAGATGCTCGCTTTTGCTCTCCAAGAGCACAACAACTACGAGCGAGCAACCGAGCTGCGTCTGGCCGAGTTGGAGCCTCCCTAACGCCTGTTTCAAGGGGGGTGAAACGCAAGGCGAAACGAAATAAAATGGCCGTGAGCACACCAC